TGTTTCGGCTTCTTCGTGGAAATGTGCCAGGACAGGGTGGTGTAGGAGTCGCTGTCGTAGCTCATTGAACGCCTCTTCTTGCTCGCTTGTCCAGGTGAAAGGCATGTCTTCTTTCGTCAGTCGGGTTAGTGGCTCCGCAATCTTCGAAAAATCTTTAACGAATCTTCTGTAATAGGCACAAAGTCCTAAGAATCGTCTCACAGCCCTTTTATCTGTCGGTCTAGGAAACTTTTCTACAGCTGCTGTCTTTTCGGGGTCAGGTCGAATGCCTTCAGAGCTAACCACATGACCGAGGAAAAGCAGTTCATGAAAACCAAAATGGCACTTTTGGGGTTTTATCGTCAGCCCTGCTGAACTAATCGCTTCGAGCACAGTTCGTAGTCGTTCCACATGCTGATCGAAGGTGGCCGAAAAGATCACGACGTCATCGAGATAAACAAGGCAGGACTGCCATTTTAACCCGGACAGCACAGTATCCATCATCCGCTGAAATGTGGCGGGTGCGGAACACAGGCCAAATGGGAGTACCTTGAACTCGTATAACCCATCTGGGGTCACGAAAGCAGTTTTCTCGCGATCTCGTTCGTCCACCTCTATCTGCCAGTATCCGCTCTTGAGGTCTAGAGAGGAAAAGAATTTTGCGTCTCGTAGTCTGTCAAGCGTGTCATCGATCCTTGGAAGGGGATAGACATCCCGCTTTGTGACGACGTTCAATTTTCGGTAGTCAACGCAGAAGCGCAAGGTCTGGTCCTTTTTCTTTACCAGTACTACAGGTGAGGCCCATGGGCTGGCCGACGGTTGAATTACGTCGTCCCTGAGCATTTCTTCAACTTGGCCTCTGATGACTTCTCTCTCTTTTGGTGACACTCGGTACGGGTGCTGGCAAATAGGTCTAACAGATTGATCGACTATGATGCGGTGTTTGATGATAGATGTTCTTTGCACTTTCGATGACGTGGAAAAACATGAGGCGTACTCCCGTATAAGGCTCTCGATTTTTTGTTTCTGGTTCGGTGATAGGGCTGCTTCGATGTGGATAGATGCGAGTATGGAATCTATACCGTCAGGGTGCAGTGGTGCAGTCTCGGAAGAATTCAAATCCGTAATCGGAACTGTAATCATGCAAGTGACCAACCACAGTTCCCTTCGCAAGGTGCTGCACCTCATTTCGGAAATTTGTCAGGAAGACACTCGTACACCCATCACGCAGTCGTACAATACCTCTTGCTGCACAGATCCCTTTCTCGAGTAATAGCCCAGTATTGCTTTCTGCCATTCCTTCATAGTCGTTGTACACATTGCTTTTTACGGTGACAACGATGATGGATCTTGCAGGTACTGTTACATCATCACCTGCAATCTGGAGCGCATCGAATCGTTTTTCACTCTCGAAAGTCGCGATGGCGTGTTTCGTCGAGAACGAGACGCACGTTTCCTGCAAGTTTATCACTGCGCCATTGGCCTGCAAAAAGTCCATTCCGATAATTACATCTCTTGAACACTCCGACAGGACAATGAAGCTGGCGACGTAGGTGAAGCCGCGTATCCCAACTCTAGAGGTACACATGCCTGCCGGATCGATAAGGTGTCCCCCGGCGGTTCGCACTTGTGGTCCTATCCAAGGGGTCAGCACTTTTTTCAGCGTTCTGGCAAGTCCCCTGCTCATGACGGAATAGTCTGCGCCTGTGTCTACTAAAGCATTCGTTTCGTAGCCGTCTATAATTACCGACAAATCAGAAGCGACGTTACCATTTCCGCACGTAGTCTCGTGTCCGTCATCACATTTTGAAATCGGCACTGGAGGTTGTTTTCTTGCGTCGGCAGCGGCCTTACCTCCCCAGGTCGCCGATTCTAGTTTTCCCGAAGCGGGCTTTGGGGAAGTCGCCTCGGAGAGTTTGAAGATGGGCGCGGACTTGGTGACCGATACCTCAGTGGCGCTGTCGACCGAGACTGATGCTGCTGCGAGGAGTGAGCCCCTTGACGCGTTGACAAGTACTCCTCGATTTCAAAAGGTCGCTCCCCATTCCGTGGACAGGCAGCGTTTACGGGAAAACCCCGAAGTCCAGCTCGGCGATATGCACACATCCGGTAAAGATGGCCAGCTTCGCCGCAGTGATAACAAAGCGGAATTCGATCAGGAGTGCGCCATATATCAGCTTTTCGGATCCTAGTCTCGGCTGGGGACGGCGTAAATCGAGGTTTCGGCAGATGCGTGCTTGCTGCGGCGAAATAAGGTCCCAGGGGCGGCGAAAGGAGGTCCAGGGGCGACGAAATGAGGTACAGGGGTGTTTCTCAGTACCTCGGCGTACGAGACTGCGGGCTGCATCGGAACTGACGCTTGAACAGGCTGGGCTTGTGGCTGCTGCTCACGGACTGCCTGTCTCACCTCCTCCCGAACAACTTCCCCTAAAGACGAGACCATTGAGGGGTTGCCGTTTAGCTTCTGGAGCTCTTCTCGAACCACCGATCGAATGAGCTCTCGTAATACGTCGATGCCATTCCCGAAGACTGCTGACACCGCGTCTACGGATGCGACGTTAACATCTCGATTGTAGTGCCTCGCTCGCTGTTGCAGAGTCTTTTCAACCGCTGTCGCCTTGGTGCGAAATTCAGCGACGTTCCGTGGGGGACATCGGAGCAAACCGGCAAAAATCTCCTGCTTCACCCCACGCATCAGGTGCCGAAGTTTCTTGTCCTCGCTCATATTTTGATCAGACCGGCGGAATAACCGGCACATGTCTTCCACATACATTGCGACGCTTTCATTGTTGCGCTGGTTTCTTGCCTGCAAGGCAGCTTCAGCTCTTTCCTTGCGGTCTGTACTCGGGTATGTGGCAAGTAGCTCCCGTCGGAAATCGTCCCACGATCGAATGGTACCTTCATGGTTTTCAAACCACGTTCGTGCGCTGTCCTGCAATGCGAAATAAACTCGGCGGAGCTTCCGTTCTTCGGGCCATCCGTTGCAGTTGGCGACGCGCTCAAAACCCTCCAGCCAATCTTCGGCGTCTTCATGAGGATCGCCATGAAAAGGGTCCGGCGTCCTTGGCTCATCGACAACGACGTGCGTGGCAGCGACTGGAGACGAAACGGCGTGTGCGGCAGCGGTTGGAGACGACATTTCGGTACTCTCACCGGAGGCAGCTGGAGACACTCTGGGCTCTAGTGGAAGGGGAAATTCCGGCGGCTCACCACGTAGACGACGGCTGGAGCGCTGATGAACTGGCGTGAGCTTAGTTGGTTGGACTGCTCGTGGTTCCGGGCTGCTTCCTCGAAGTCCAACTGGGTTTGGGATCATTACCCAGCACCTCCACCAGAATTGTTACGTACAATCCAAATGGTGTACGAATAACTGTTTATTGGGGCGAACTTGTGCCCGAAAAGTAGCGGCGTCTGTAACAGGCGATCAGCAAAAAGGGATCAATCTCCGAGAGAGAAAAACGCTCGAGTGGTGGTCCACTTCTTCTTCATCAAAATCCCGTGCTGAGGAAGCGCGCGCCGTCACGGCCTTTTCTTGTTTGATCATCAAGCCGCTGATCTCTTGGGGGGGGCGCATGAACTAGCGCGCGTAGTTTGAATACTGCGTTCACTTTGCGTCAATATGATACCAGATATAGGAGGATTGACCGTTAAGGGGAACGCAGCGGTAAACTGATTTAAATATTGGGATCACCTTAACTACTCTCCACTCTTTAGGAACAACACAAGATGACAAGAAGTTTCAGAACAAGGCTGAAGCCCCACCACGGTGGTCTAGTAGCTATGGTACTCGGCTGCTGGCCTGCAGGTCACGGGATCGAATCCCGGCTGTGGTGGCTGCATATCTCATAGAGGCGGAAATACTGTAGGCCCGTGTTCTCAGATTTGGGCCCACGGTAAAAAACCCGAAGTGGTCAACATTTTCGAAGCTGCTCACTACGGCATCTCTCATAAACATATGGTGGTTTTTGGACGTTAAACCTCACATATAATTATAGAACAAGGCTGATAACGCTGGTGAAAAGTTTACGAAGGCATTTAAGTATGTTCAGTATGTTCCTTTATTGGCATGTTTCTTTGACATTTTCTTTCAAAAGTTGTAAGGGTGGAATGCCATCGCAATCATAATTCGCGTCCATTTTTGTCACAAATGGTCTCGCGATCATATAGACACAGCATTGTTCTCTTCATCGACATGAAATGCTTGAGCTGCGCTGATAAAGAAGCATTCAAGATAAAAAAATCACAGCATGTCCACCGAGTGAGTGATGATGAGTGGTGTGAAGGATCCGCCCGTCCGTGTGTTCGTTCTTCCTGACGCAAGGACGAACAGTAGCACGGTCAAGATAAAAACAACCACGAAGCTTTTCTTCATTATATGCACCAGCTAGGAAGGGCTTGAAACTCAATGTGTTGCTTATAATTTAAATCAGATGACATTTAAATTGCGTGGGGCAGAGCACCAAGTAATAAAAAATGAATATTTGCCATTTTCAAAACAAAGGTGACGTTCACGAGGCCGTGTTACATGGGCCGATTCCCAGAAGGTGTGGTCATAGCACATACAAACGACTATCCACTTGTGCGAGGATTATTGCGCCTTAGTCTGCTCTCTGTAGCTCGCAGGCTAAGTGATAAGTGATATAAATTTACATGATCCCGAGTGCTCTAGACAGGAAAAGTCATGTTTTGCAGCACAAACATGAGACAGCACTTATTGCACTAGCTCTACGGTACATGATAAGTCGGTTTGCAATCTTAACACTGCATGATGACGAAACATGTTTCAGAATCGAGGAAGCTTGCCTCGGTACTTAAGCGAATGGGACCAGCTGCCTTACTCAACGTACTGACTCGAAACTAGGAGGATCAGCAAACAATACTGGTTACAATAATTAGGCCCACCTTAGCGCTGAGAACTCTTTTTGCTACTTCTCTTCGCATCACTACTACTTTCTTGGCCCTTTGTCAAATAATTGCCCAACTATTTACAAACAACAACCTAACTTAGACATTCGTTTCAGGCCTATTCGATAATGAACAAATGCCGTACTGGCTCAACCGCTCTGAACCCAACTCAACAAAGCCAAATCTGACGGAGATGGTAACGGTTGCTTTGAAAATACTTTCAAAAGCGCCCAAAGGTTTTGTGCTGCTTGTTGAAGGTGAGCAATTACACTGATTTAAGGTAACTTTCAGCGCTATGCTAGCGGTATAAGACATCCTACACCTTATTTGTGTATAAACAATGCTATACTGATGCTTGCGTCTTTCGAAGTCTAACTAAGATTGTTATAGGACTACATTCTGTGCAACACTCTGATAATACGTTTCGTGGCTAAATTAATGTGTTGTTGTGTTTGTGGTGACAGAAAACAGGATAGTATTAGCATTCCATAAGTACGAGAGTACTTCATCAGCCGAATATTTTGAAACGGCTTACATTTTTATTGCAAAAAGATTGGGCTGCCTGTTCAGCAAAAAAAAATTCGGCAAAAAGGTTCGCTGACTGTTCTTCTTATTTAGGCAGGTGCATTACCACGCTAGAGGAGCGGCAGGCGCGCACTCTCTTACGAACTGCACATCTTTAGGTGCACAGTCCGTAGCAGCGGCGCGCCTGCTGGGGGGGGGGGGGGTGTACCTTTTCTGTGAAATAGCAGAAAAGGAACAAAGGCCACTGTGTCTAGCATTTTTGAATATCAAGGGAGCGTACGATAGCGTGGTGTAAGAGGAATTGTGGGGAATACTGGACACACTAGGCGTGGAAGATGTAGTCACTAATTTTCTAAAGGAGATCTATAAAAGTAATAAATTGGGGAAAACAGGTACCTAAGCCCACAGATGTGAAATAGGGGCTTAGGCAGGGGTGTCCTCTGTCACCCTTGTTATTGATGATGTACCTACAAGGATTAGAGGCCAAATTAGAGGGAAGTGGACTGGGCTTCAACCTCTCTTTCGTCAAACAAAGAAAACTCATTGAACAGGCACTACCAGCATTGATGTACGTAGATGATATAGTGCTAATGACCGACGACAAGGAAGATTCGCAGAGATTTGTGGACATCTGCGGTAATGAGGGAGATAGGTTTGATTTCAGATTCAGTAAGTAAAAATCAGCAGTCATGATTTTTAATGACAAAGAATGTAATGAGCTTAGAATACAGGAGGTCACGCTAGAGATAACAGTTAAATACAAATATCTTGGCGAATGGATAAGCAATGGGACCGAGTACCTAAGGGAACACGAAATATACCTGTCGACTAAAGGTAACAGGAATGCAGCGGTAATGAAAAACAGGGCGCTGGGGAATTACAATAGGTATGATGTTGTGAGAGGAATATGGAAATGGGTCATGGTTCCTGGTCTGACGTTCGGCAATGCGGTCTTGTGCATGAGATCAGAAGTTCAAGCAAGATTCAAAATTAGGCAACGTGAAATAGGTAGGCTTGCCTTAGGAGCTCACGGGAATACACCAAATAAGGGAGTACAAGGTGATATGGGATGGACATCATTTGAGGGCAGGAAAGCTAGCAGCAAGATAAAATTTGAGAAGCAATTAAGAGAAATTGGGGAAGAACGTTGGGCTAGGAAGGCTTTCAGCTACTTGTACAAGAAGAATGTTCATACAAAATGGCGGAAGCGAACCCGGCAATTGACTGGTAAATACTTGGAAAACAGCAAGGGGCCAAACCAAAAAGAAGTATCGGTTAAAAAAAGGGTGAAGGAAGCTGAGACCGATATGTGGAGAATTGGCATAATAAAGACGTCCGTACTAGACATCTATTGAACTTTTAAGCAGGAAATAGCCATGGAAAAGATCTATGATAATACTCGGGGTAGTTCTCCACTGTTCGAGGCCAGGGCGGAAGTATTGCGAACAAAAACATATCGGGCCAAATACGACGAGGTAAACACGGTATGCAGTGCGTGTGGAGAGGAAGAAGAAACTGCCGAACACTTGATAATGTTCTGTAAAGGGCTTCACCCTGTAGTTCAGGTTGATGGCGCAGAGTTTTTCAAAGCACTGGGGTTTAGGGACAGTGAGGGCAAAATAGACTTTAAGCGGGTAGAATTAACCTGAAGGAGGTTATCTCATTGGTGGCTAAAGTCAAAGCACGAGTGAAAATTTAACCCTTCGCTGCAAAGTACGAATCCTAAACCTCACTATTTAAGGGAAAAATTAAATCTAGTTTTTGGTTCATTAAGTATTACGGCTTGGTGGCGCTATCCAGCGCCCGATCTAAAGGGTACAGCCATATCCATCCATCCATCCATGGGGGTTGTTTTCTTATTAGGGCAGATTCTGCACAGCTCATTGCATTGGGGGGGGGGGGGGCGCTTCGCGCCAGCTTACTGCCCTCTTCCTCCTCCTCTTTCTCAGTCGACGCCTCGCATGTGACCAGCCACACGTGTTTGGGTTCGAATCTAGTAGCAAACCCGCGTGCGGAGGAGAGTGCCGTAAGCGAGGGTTGGGCCGCAGTGCCGTTAACTAGCAGCGGTTACCAGCGGGAACTACACACGAAGGTCAGGTCAAAAGAGCGTGCGTACGTGCTGATCCTATAGTTCGGCCAGGGGTAAACGTTCAAGAATGACGCTAGAGACATATCGAAATGTTGTACGCAAATACACACGTTCGATACTAGCATATGTTTTATAAAACCAGTGGTTTGCAGTTGCGTAACGATGCCAACAGCATTATTGGTGTTACCCGGACCCTCCTACAGAAATCAACTTCAGTTCGTTGCACCTAACTACGCAAAATTAAGGATAACCTGGCCTGACGGCTGCATCATAGGAAAACGCATGTAATGAGCATAAAATTGTACAGCCAGGGCCACCACCACAGTTGCGTTTGACGAACGCCTATGTGAAAAACAGTTTCAAGGCCTCGCATGGCTCTATGCTAAAATAATTGATTACCACGCAGAATGCTGGAGTTCAATCTGTGCTATAATTCCTGCATTCGTCGGGTCAACACTGAAATGTCAACTTTATGTTGACACTCTCGCGTTAAACTTAACATTGTGTGTTTTTTCATTCCTGTGTATAACGAGTCTTGCCTGCATCACTGAAAACAAAAAGAAACACGTTGCTCATTGTTCTAACAAAAAAATGAACGCGTTACCCCTGCACGTTTTCTCAAAAAAGGTTACGCGTTACACTACCATCACCGAAAAAAAACGTAACAGACATTAAATACCTCAGCCGTTATACCACCATCATAAGGTTTAATCAATGTGTCTTTGCTGTGGGAACCCACACAATTTTTAAATACAAGTTTATTATTCACATAAAACCTCTAGCCTCAGGAAGAAATATACTCGTAATGGTCATCTAACGGCGAATAGTTGTACAAATTTACCGGACGTTAGCAATGTTATAGCAGCTTAAGACGCTTGGATGGTTACATGTCATGGCTTCTTAATGTGTGGCACATGATGAAGTCATTTTTTTTAGGCGGCTTACAAAGTATGATAGTCAATCGTTCGTGCTGATCGCAAGAACTGCCTACCTGAAATCTCAAGAAGTATACTGCAATCGGCTTTTTTTCTCGTTCGAAGAGCACCTCTAATGCAGATCGTCGAAAGCGGAACTGGTGGCTCTTGGCCTCCGGAATTACCTGTCGAGTGCCAGTGGTCAAGAGTGAGACCTATATTAGTGCTTTTTCTGAGGGGGAGGCCTTTCCACATTTGTGACACCTTGTGCTATGCCGCTGTCATCGTGTTTGGTCAGCACAAATCATGACGCATGCGTCATCGATGCCAGTGCGTGTGCGCGTTCGGGCTACGTACACACAAAAGCCAATAAGGAGGGCGGACTTGTATTAGCCAAAGCAATGCGCAACTTTTCAAGCATTAAAAAAATGTTTATTGGAATAGTCAGGTGAAAAAATGTCATTTTTTGCTCTTTAACTCGTATAAAGTACTACAAACATTTGTAAGCGTTTATCGAAAGGTGTTCAAGGTCAGCATCGCTAGCTAAGGAGCTCAATCACCGCAAACGCAACTCCGGTGAAAGAAAAAAAGGCAAAATTTCTTTTTTCAGAACAACGTCAATAGGTCATAGCAACTTTGTAGCAACTTTGTAGCGACTATTAGGTAGCGATTATTATTATGAAATGTTACACCAGTGCACATTATTCAAAAGTAGTTTTCTTCTCTTGATGGAATTCGTACAACGTTTTTGTGCTCTTTGTTGCGCGTACAATTCATACACAAAATGCCCTATTTGTAGGGATACTGTTTGCGTTCAATTTTCATGAACATTCGAGAGGGACGGGTAATAAAGTTTGCCCAGCCACGTAGAATACGTTTATTGAGCACTTTAAAAGACTTCTAAGTTTCTTCTCGAGATACTGAGTAGTATGTGCATAAAATATAATATGTCTGATCAAATATACCTTATTGATTTTCGTATTGCGTGTTGATTTCTCCTACAATCACCAATTTGGGAAACCCATGGTTAGGAGACTCACTTCGGCTATGTCTGCCGTGTTTTTTGCTATCAGTAACCGTGGTTAGGCACAGCTCTTTTTATGGCTGCTCAATGCGCGCATACAAACGCGGACGCAAAAAGGAAACGAATGTGACAGAAGTGGCACATATGTACTCTATTTCTTTCCTCAATAAACTGCAGTAGCAAGTCGGCGCCAGTTGTGTTAGTGTTTTGCTCTTGTGTCCGTGTTTGTGTCTGTGCATTTTTCAGTCTGAAGGTGGATCAATACTAACTATAGCTCAGTTATTCGTGTTACTGTTAGCAATAGTGTTCGTGTCGCAAAGGTATAAACGGGTTTTGGTTAAAACAGGGCGGTACCAGTCAAGGCGGCGAGAATTTCTTTTTAACGTGAAGGTCTTTATTGCCTCATACTCGAGGTAACTGGTTTGCCTCCCGCCCATTGACATGGTGCCAGATGTGGCATCTCCCTTCACGGGGAAGGATAAATGAGCTTTGTGAGCGCTCGAACGTGGATGTCGTCAGCACGGTGTGCAAAGCGCGAGAATATAAACGGATGCCAAACGAAGGCAGATGAGTCACACGTCTCGCTGTTATTTGCGCTAAACATTAAAAAAAAACGAAAACGCCCACACAATTCGTTTTAGTGTCATTCCACTGGGAGGTTGGTTGGTTGCGAAACTTTATTGTGGTCCTGCAAGGCGCGCGTCA